AATCATCTTTCATCATAGGGAATTTCCTTATTTGTAAGGTGGGTTTCATTGGCTGAATTGCTAACCCATGTGACCAGCAGACAGAGTCACCAAACTGAGGTAGAAACTTAGAAAGTGAAATACTTCTACATTATATTAAAGCATAGTTTGGATTTGTTTGCCCTCTTGCTGAGAGTTAGAAGGTGGATCTTTCATCAAAGGCTGTTTTTAACATAGATTAGCAAAAAATGGACACTGGCAGAAACAGCCAACTGGCTGTGTTTAAAGGCAACCTGTCCACCTGCCAGCTGAAGAAATCACATATCTTATTTGTTTAGGTTGCACAAGTAACAAAGTGTTGATGGTGACTTCCTGCTTTGCCTTGTTGTTCCCTTGTCACCGTGAGATGGCTTGGAAAACAGCACAGACTCCAAAATGCATTGTGCCTGATAGTCCCCAGCTCTGACTGAGCTTTAGGCGTGCTGATCCACATTGCCTTTTTACCCATGTTTTTATCTTTTTAAGCTAGGACAACCATCTGCTGGGTAAAGCCATACTTTGAACAGACAGATAATGAGGGCGTTGGGAAGTGCGAATGGATGACAGGCTACTGTTAAAAAAAAACAACCCCCCCCCACAAAAACAAACAAACAAAAAAACAGGTGATGTAGCACTGCAGTAAACAGGCCCCATCCCTACTTTTATATGTTGCTGTTGCTGGTATCAAATTTTAAAGAGAAAATATATATATATGTGTATTTCTCAATTTCTCTGCATTTTATATGATACCCATGTATTATTTTCCATCAAATGTAACTTTTAATTATTTAAAAATTAATGCATTCTGCTGTTATTTACCTTTTTTTTGGAAAAGGGCATTCATTTCTGAAAACGGGACCACATTTAAAATGAGAGAAATAAAAGTCCAACCATATCTCTATGATTATGTTCCTTTTTTGCTGAAAATCTGTCCCTAAAGCTCCTGTTTATGACAGACTTGAGATAGAAATATTATTTTGGGCAATTTATTTGATTCAAAAAGTAAAATGAACCAGGATATAATTTTCAGCCCAGTAACAACTAATTGGAATCAATTATTTAATCCATGCAGCATGCAGCCTACGATCACCCTTGCTTTTAAATGCTTCCAATCAAATTCTGCAGGATTTGTGACACAAGTCCCTGCTGAAAGTCATTCCACAAACTTGTCTACTACTCACTGTTGTGTCGCTCGCTGGTCCAGGGACATGGCTTCTGTGTCATGGTGAATAGGGTGTCAGAGATGTCGGACAGAAGGCAGTCCAGGTCAAACATGTGGACCTCCGCGGGGACAGCCTCGGGTTCCTGGTATGTCTGATAGGACCATTTGTCCTGCCTGGCTTGGCAGATCTGACCCTGCCAAACATCAACAAGGAATCAGAACACTTACAGGATCTGACATGCCAAGTTAATCCCAGATCTATCCATTAGGGGCTCAACATAAATAGAGCTGGAAAGTCCTAATTCATCAATGACTTCTAGTTCTCCCAACCTGTGCCTGCAATTAGTGCTCTATGAAAACTTTGTGCCACGTTTGTTCCGCTGATAAATGACAAAATGCCTCTCAAAACTAAAATAAAACAGCAAGAAAAAAAACATCTATATCCAGTTACACACAAAACAAAACTGCACACCTACAGCATTCACAACTTCAACAAGAAACATGTGCTAAGCTGTCATCCCCCCACCCCCATCCCTTTCTGCCCCTTCTCCTTTGGAAACCCAGTGAACAACTCACAGAAACGAAGCGCCAGAGCCAGCCTGTTTGAGATGCTTTGTTTCACCCCGATCTTCTACTCCGCCTTTACCTTCCACTTCTAAGCCCAGGGCCACATTTATAGGGAAGCCCACCCGATTGAGCCGGAAACTATTTCTGATTACGTCTGAACCAACGACATCCCCTCTTAGAATACAAGCACGCACGAGCAGAAATGAGGTAAGATTGTTTCGCGCACATGTATGTGTGTATGTGTGCGCGTGTGCATGTGGGGTGCATCATGAAAAAGCTGTTTTGACACATTGTTCAGAAACACTGGGCCCTCACAGGTTTTCATTATGTTGGCTTTGTTCATTTCTTTATTTTGATGTCTCACCATTTCAATAAGAGCGGCAGCCTTTTGTCCCTGACCTAATTCTGGGAGTCGCACACACACACACGTGCATGCAAACTGTAAAAGGCCCCTGCTAAACACAAACTGATGCTGCTTGGAGAAAATATACACATGCATATGAGCGGCTGAAAGACTGCAGCATCGACAGGGTGCGTTTACATCGTTCGGTGAGAAGTTTCATTTCAAAAGAGATTCTCCTAGATCTAAATCTAACTCAACTTTGGTATCCAGAAGGACGCAATTTTTTATTATCAAAGCCATTAGTGAACCTTACCCTACCCTACAGATTACCCCACTTTTAAAACTTTTGCATCTCCCACCTATCAAGTTTGAATTTCATTCAACGATGTTGGTCCTTCCTTCCTGGTGGAGAGGGGGCCCACCTAAATTATTGAACTGTTCCATCCCTGCACTACAAGTTGGCTTCTCTGGTCCTCAGAGAGGGGTCTTCTTACGGTTCCGTGTGCCAGTCCAAGAACTGAGGGTGATCGTGCCTTCCACACCTTAGCTCCAAAACTGCAGAACAGCTCAATTCTTTTTGTGCCCGTTTAAAAAGGCAGCTTAACCCTGTAACACCAAGGGCTTCGTATTTAATGGGTGAGGTTTTGAGACTGCTACATTGTCAGTGTGATTGTTTTTCCCTGAAAAGACTAAAATATGTAGCACAAATGTTAAGCACGAAATTGCACAAAAATCCCAGATGTAAATAAAAAAATCTTAATAATTGAAACTCATATATGCAAATTTCGCTCTTTTAAATATTTGTCAGAAGGTTCATTAAATAATGTATTCAAAAACATTAAATTTTTCTGTAAATTATTTGATGGCTCAGAGTGTACAGTGCTTGTAGTGTGTGTTCATTTTTTTTACTTATTTGTGTCTCCCTTTTGCAGAATGAGACTTTTTTTTCCTTACTCGTTTACACAGCATTATCACCTAATAGGATATTATTTCACTCTCAGACTGAATATAAGGGCTAAGTCTAGTGATCTTAATTTTCAGCCTTTTTCGTGTTATTATTAGAGCAGCTTTCCAGCTGTCTTCTTCACTCCACACCACACACTACATCCTTCAGGTCCCTGCAACCTACTGAAATAGGGAAGGTGTGACCAGGTTTTGAAGAACAGCTCAGGGTCAGCTTCCCCTGAACCCATTGCTCCACCTCTCCCGTGCAGCTGAGCCACAAACCACACCCTGCTACAGTCTGTAAATGAACTGTGTAAAAATCTATTGAAATACATTGTCACTGTAGATAATAATCTGAACGTTATTTTACTATTCTACTTTATTAGAAAGTGGCTGATGTTAAAAATGTAAAGCCAATTAAATTTCAGACTAGGGCTGTCACATGTTAAAAGTGCACAACTGTAACTGTGTAACCGCATATATGACATGATTACAGTATACAACATTCACACTTTTGACTAGTGTTTTTCTAAGCACTAAATGTAATCTGTTAAGAGAATGGTGTGATAAGAATATGAGTGCGCAGAGCATAAAAACACAGTGAAGTGATCTTTGACCTGTCAGCTACTTGCTGATATTGGCCTTGCCGCGTAATCCATCAAAAGACGGGTCAGACACAGCATTATTATGGGAGTTTTCCTAATGTTGAACTCAAGTAAAGCTTGGACTTCCAGTGCCACAGCACATCTACAGAAAAAGGAAAAATTAGAGCCCATGAAAGATGAAATATGAGGAATACTATCATAAATGAGGCGCCTTGCTCTCTCTGCCCCCCCCCCCCGCTGTTTCTCCTCTCTGCCACTAAATATTTTGTCTCTGCCACCGTAGCGTCACTGTCGAAAGCCGATGCCCCTCTGCTGCCCGGTTTTTGCCAAGTGCTGCTGGAAGTAGGTCATATTTGATTAGGTTACATTCATTTTTTTCACCATTTTTCTTGAATAAAGATTAAGAGTTATGGGTATTGTTGCAGCAGGCAGTTAGCTGGGTCAGTTGCCGTCAGGTTGTGACGCACAGCCCAAGTTGTTTTGCCCATTTCTATTTTCTTTTTTAAATCTCTTTTTTTCTCCCCTCCTCCCTTGTTCAGCCAGGGAGGCTAAATTCAAATGCTAAAAATAGTCGCTTGGTGGTCTTTAGTGATCGTATGTCACTACAAGGACATTCAAAAGTAAACAATGCCAGCAGGTCACCCAAACATTACAATATATGTTGGGTCAGTTGGCCAGCTTCAGCCTCCACTCTTCAAAATCAATACTTTTCAACTTTAATTTGCTTGCAATATTGCAATAATGTAGCAATAATGAAGTAATGTGTGACTTCTGACTTACCTCTTGAAGCATTAATAGAATGTCATCCTTCTTTTTCTGAAGCTGCAGCAGAAAAAGACAGAGCGAGTGTGGAAATGAACCATGTGTTTGTTTCTATGCACATCACCTTAAGTTAACTAATTACAGTTTTGATCAGGTAAAAGTGTTGGAAAGTGGGGCCATTGGGGTTCATCCTTTGGGGACTATGAAAACGTGACAAACTGTCCAACCAATAGGTACTGGTACTGACTTAGAGACAGATTAAAGATGTACTGTGAATGAGGTGAGCACTCACCCTCTTCTTATAGTAAATCCTCCACTTATGGTACTCTTTGATCACCACCTCAATCCTTCTCTTCCAGTAGCTGCCCTCTAATATGATCGCCTGTTGACACAATGCCAGAGAAACACTAAGTATGTTATTTTTTTTTCAAGGATGAGCTAAAATATGCAACACCTACATCATTCATTCACTCACTTCGGGCTTTCGATGCGCATCTGCCTCCAAGCCATCCAGCGGGGTCACAAAGCCACATACTGGGTTTTTCCTCTTCTCCACATCTGAGCCAAGCAGAAAGAGGAAAAAAGGACAAGAAAAATCAGCTGCTGCGTAGACATTCATTCTGGTGAAATGTGGATTCTCTCGACCCATGTTAGGTCACCCGGTTCTTCTAGTCTCACAATTTAAAAAAAAAAGAGCACCAGCACTCACACTGAATGAACCATGCTCTCCAGATTGCATTGTTCAGACGGATCTTATCCCTCCACAGCAACCGCAGACCCTTAAAAGATTTCCATTTAGGAGAGACTATCTTACCACTGTGGAGAAAAGAAAGGTGGAATATGTATTTGTTTCAGGGAAAATGTGAAAGCCCTTTCATTTATAGTCTTTGAGGCAAAAAGGCATAATTGTGCATAAATGACTCTTTTAGAAAAAACAATGGGAACACTGCCTCAAACCTGTCCTGATTTTGACTAATAGTAGCCAATCAACTTATTCCCCGGTATACAACCCAGCTGTATGTGCTTTTTCCCCCCCTCCCTCACTTTTTCTCTGCCTGCTGAGAATAGGGCTCCTAATGTGAGGTGCTCAAGGAGTTGCTAGGAAGCCTAGGGAAATCATTCTCAACATGCTTTTAATGGACTGACATGGCTGTGTATTATTCAGCCCAAACAGCAGAGACAGCGTATTGCGAAAAAACAAAGAGCAATCAGCAGAGGAACCACTTTACATCAGTCTGGTTAATGATAAATAGCGGAAAGCGGAGCAGCAATCTGTGCAGAATAAGAGACCATGTCATAGGCTTGGAAAATATATATAAATATATAATAAAGTACTTGTTTTAAATCTATATTTTCTGTGATTGACAAATTGTGGCACTGTTTCAGGATTCATTGTGCAACTATTATCAAACTAGATCTATAAACAAATGCAATTTTCCATCCAGTGACAGCAGATTTAAAAAAAAAAAAAGAAAGAAAGAAAGAAAAAAAAAGTCTTCTTTGGGCCAAGGGTTGATGAAAGCTCTTATAAACACAGTTTCAAAGAAAGTGGTCCTCATTTTTTAAGTAAATGAAAAATCAATGTGTAGTCTGATGTTACTGAAACGTAAGCATGTTTAGAGAGTATAGGGAGGTTTCTTTGGTATTTGGTTTGTTTTAAGTGCGGCGGCTTCCTCTGCTATAGCTGTTCATATGCAGGAGCTATGAGAGCTATACTCTCAAACAGAAAAACAAATTTCTAGGGCATCGTGTCAGGAGTTTCTTTCCTTTGCATCAGTCACACTGTCCTTTGTCCAGTCCTGCCAACTAGAATCAAAGTCCACTTTTTTTTGGTAAAAATTTCCAAACTGGTTATGCAACAGACTGACAACACATATACACAAACAACCACAGCCTTAACTATCCGCTTTGAAGGGAACTCTATTAAGACAAATATAAATATATATATATTAAAAAATATATTTTAAAATATGGTTTAGTTTAGTTCGTTTAGTGAGCTTCGGTTAATTTACAATACTCTTATTTTAAAACAGAGACTGATCCTGTGCATATCACTGCTTTAAATGTCAGCTCAGAATGAGACACTTTCACATTCTTTGGAGATATTTTTTTCCACATGGTTTAGCTGAACTGAACAAGCAGAAAGCTGAAAATAAAAATGCTGATTAAAACCCCGACTTCATTCTTTTCCCCTACTGCACGCAGCAGGGACCCACCTGTAGGCCAGTGACATGCACTCGAACAGGCGGGTCAGAGTGGGGTCGATGCTCAGGCTCCCGGAGCTGAGTGGACCGTAGCGGTACGTTTGACACCCCGTTCTGTTTACCGTGTCAAAGTCGTACCTCAGAGACCCTCCACTCTTCCTCCTCCGCGCTGCAGAGTCGCTGTGGGGCGAGGATACCATGAAGTGTCCGCTGTGGATCACCTGAGTGCGGGGGAAAGCTTCGGGCGACGGCCCGGTGCCGGCCACCCGAGCGGGTTCCCCCTCCGGGTCAGAGTCCGATTCTAAGAAGTCCTGAAGCTGGCTCTCTCCGGCCGAGCAAACACTCCCTTTGCCCGCCATTGCGCACTTTCATTCAGCGGTGAGCGTCAGACAGAAAGTGAACTTTCTCCTCAGCTGACTTCCCCCGCTTTCTGTCCTGTTTTCTTCAGATATTTGAATATTTCTTCAAGGAAGAGCCGTTTGCTATGAAGCAATGATTATCCTCATCTGTCAGTGGAGGGCTCAGCCAACCAGCTGCAGGACCTACACCTCTGGAGCACGGTGTGTGTGTGGACTGTTGTGTAACAGCATACTATCATTATGTCAACTTCCCGAACTGGTAAAGTCCCCAAGGGAATAGACAGAAAGTGGTAATTATTAATAAACCAAAGTAAATAATAAATATTAGAAAGTAGGAGTAAACCGGCTTCAAGTGGATGTGTCACAGATTCATATTATCATCACTATATACACAAACAACCACAACCTTAACTATCAGCTTTGAAGGGAACTCTATATGTATATATATATTAATTTGCTTCTAAACTTTAACATCTTAGATGTGTTTCAGCAAGCAACAATTCTGCGCATGTAAAAGGATTTCTGCACATTTAAAACATATCACATATATCTGTGTTTAGGAATGATTATTAACAAGTTCTGATCCTTCATAATTGATATTATGGAGATTTTTTTAACCCATAAAGCAACAAAGGTATTCTTTATTGCATGTTTTCTAATTATTTCTGTGTGTGTGTGTGTGTGTGTGTGTGTTAAGCCTAAAAATATTTTTCTTATTATATATTATTGATATTTCCAGATAAAATAATTTAAAAAGCCTCCACAGCAAGCAGACACGAAGCAGTGGGGCTTCCCTTCACCTCACCTCCAATTGGTTGTAGCAGATGGCTGTCCCTCCCCGAACCTGGGTCTGCTAGAAGCTTCTTCCTGTCGAAAAGGGGTTTTTCCCTCCCACTTTTGCCAAGTGCTTGCTCAACAGGATTGTCTGATTGTTGGGGATTGTTCACCGTTCACAGTTCACTGTACTCAAATGGCCTCCAGTCACCAGATCTAAATTTAAAAGAGCACTTTTGGGATGTGGTAGAACAGCAAATTCACATCATGGATTTGGAGCCGACAAATCTTCTATAACTCTGTGACACTCTGTAACACTTTGTTGAATCTGTGCCACAAGCACAGATCTGAAGGCAAAAAGGGGTCCAACATGGTACAACCAAGATGTAACTAATAAAGTGTCCAATGAGTGTATATTAGTTCATTCTTAGTCAGGACAAAGGAAAAATAACTACAAAGTGCAGCTCTTCAAGTTGAATATACCTTTCACAGTCTCTTAGCCTGTTAGCCCAGTCAGCCTTCTGGTCACTTCTCTAAGCTTTAATGAGTCTCTGGCTGTTCATGGAGGACCCTAAAAATGCTCATATTGTGAGGGGTACACCCGCTTCGGATGTTATCAGTCCATACAATGGGCGTTATTAGCAGAAATCAGTCCCATAGATATGGGCCAGGATTGACCTTCTCTACCTCCTAAACTGTTCAGAAGGTTGTTATCATCCATCCAGATGGATGATCACTAACAGGAGCATGGGAAGACTCCAGAATCCACACTCGCTGGAATCTCATGAACACAGCAGAGTTTACAGGTAAGACCATTTAAACGGACAGCATTTGTAGAATGACTATTAAACGTAAGTGAGTGTCAATAATATCAATGTGGTTATGTTAGTAATACAACGAGTGCTAATATAACAGCTTTAAGATGCATTTGTAGATAGTATTATGTGTTTTACTGTCTTTATGGTGCTATCTTAAAGTTACGGTGTAAACATTAGCTTATATTGTAGTAAAGCAGTTACTGTTTAAACCAGTCTTTTAAACTTTTTTTTTTAAGATTAAATAATATACCATTGTGGAGGTACGCATAGACTATATGAGAATTCCCAAATCCCGGCTATTCTGGGAGCAGAATAGCCGGGATTTGGGGAATAGCCGGGAATAGCCGGGAATAGCCGACCAGAATAGTCGACCAGAAAACGTCTCCCCGAGTGTGTCCTCTATGAAAGCAGCCTTTCCTTATTGCCAGCGGTCGCAGCCGCTACAGAACGCTGGCGGGCTTGTTTCCCTTAAAACTGCAAAGGTGGCACGGTGCTGTCACGCGCGATTCCAGCCACCATCGATGAGTTGGAGGACCCCGGGAGAATCGGTGGGGGCACGGGAGATGCCATCAGTGAGTCGGGAACTATCGCCTGGACCCCGAAGCTCCTGGTAGCCAGGAGAATGCGATACGCTTCTTCTGTGAGTGAGTGGTAGTCCTTCGCGGCCAGCAGCGGGGAGTTGGCGAGGCCAGCTCGCACTGGAGCTGGCAACTGTTGGAAGAAGACATCAGTGAAGAGGAATCCACCGTCATCCGTTCCTAGCAAGAACAGCATGCTCTCCATGAGCTCGAGAGCGGTACCATCACCCAGGGCTGAGAGAGAGAGAGGATTCTAGGCCCGCTCTGCATCGGAGAGGGAGTAGAGAGGTGTATTTCACTTGGGGGGGGGGGTCTTGGAGTAGGGTCATCACAGGGCGGGTGGACAGCGGATCCAGTGAAGCCACCACATGATGGGTTTTCGTGTCGTCGGCTGAAACACCACGAAAATCCACAGCTTAACCCCCACAGCAAAAATTTAAACGTAAAGCTCTGCTATCACTTCCGACATAAACGAAGACAGAAAACTAAACAGCAGTGACTTTTGTAGGGTTACTGAAGTTGGGCTAGCTTGTATATAATGATGTCCTACGTGGTTGGCTAGCTACACAGCTATGTTAGCATAACATAAACACAGTGAATTTGGAGGATGAATGCTAACTTTTTTCCACTCGATGAGGGTTCCTGATGGTTAGAGACAAACCCCTCGCATGGCAAGATGCTGTAAACGGACCAAACTTCAGTCAGGAGAACAACTGAGATAATCCATCCACAATAGAAGGTTAGTCATTCATATACTGCTGCATGGGCTGGGCTGTAGTTACATCGACAGGTTTTAAAAACTGAGCCTTAAAATCAACAGTGGTAATAAAAACCGAGAGAGGCTGACAGTGATCACTAACTGTTTTAGGGGCTTGTTCAGATTAAACAAGCCCTGAGAAACCAACACGTTCTCACTCCCAACTCGTCAAATGTGTGACGCATGGTCAGGCTCCCTCTGCTTCACTTATCGACGCGCAGGGTACCCCCCTCGCGTCGAGAATTGACGTGCAGGGTCCTCTTATTGAATACTATAGAGCTCCCTAAACGTTTCTTATTGACGACAAGAAATTGCCTGTTGTCCATATATTTATATATTTCCAAAATCACATTGTAGTGACCAGTGTTGGGACTAACGCGTTATTAAGTAACGCGTTACAGTAACTACGTTATTATTGTGGCAACGCGCACGATAACTAGTTATTATGCCAAAACCAGGAACGCGTTACTCGTTACTGGGATTTAGATAGGCTCGTTATTCGTTACTTCGTGGGGTGGCTATCGCGGAGCTTCCACAGATTCAATAACATTAGCAAGTGGTGGAAGCCAGCAGGTGGATGA